TTTTTTTTTGGATTGATTGATTGTTTGATTGATTGTTGGGGGATGAGTCACCCCCCCAACCCCCACCCAATCACACACACACACACACACACACACACTTGCGCCGAAGTTGCGCGGGGTCCCCGTGCAACTTCGGCGCAAGCGTGTGCATGTGTGTGTTTGTTTTTGATTTTCTAAAAATAATTTAAATGCTCAAAAAATAAAAATAAAAATAGCAAAAAATAATCCGCGGGCAGAGTTGTACCACGTTGTAACGGGGTATAACGCGGAGTTCAAACGGGGGTTCAACGGGAGTTGAACCGTTCAACTCGCAACCCCCGTTGAATCCGGTTTCGGACACATAGCTTGTGAGTTTGAGAATTTCATTGACTAATAGGATATTATCCTGGATCCTGTTCCCTTCGACAAACTGGTCTGCGTCAGGTGAATAATGTCGTCTAAGACCGGGATCAGTCGGTTTGCGAAGGCTTTCGCTAGTATTTTATAGACTACCGTAAGCAAGGTTATCGGCCGGTAGTTTCTAATATCCAGCTTGTCTCCCTCAATTTCATTTTCCCTGACGTTCCTCTCCCGTCGGGCATACTTTGAGGTGAACAGGTCTTCGAAGGACCTAGCTATCCGCATGCAGTGGGGGGTGGAGGTGATGATGTCTTGTTGTCCAGTCAGAGGATCGTAAAGCGCTTCTATGGTTGTTCTGTGTGAACGTACTCAGGCCATACTAAAGATTTTTTTGTCCATTGTTCCTTCTGTTTGATGCTTTGTGAGTTGTCGTCTTATACGTGCACCATCCCAACGTTGTGTGGCAAAGGTCTGAAGTTGGTGTTTCAGCATTTGTACCTCTGGATGATCTTCTGCGTGTCCTTCTGGCTGTGTGTGTAGACAATTAGACTGATGCTGATGCTCACGATGCTACAGTTGTTGATGAATTTCCATCTCCTGTTTTTTTTTTCAGAACCTCTTGGTTCTGGCTCCTACCATTCTGGGGAGCAACAGTCTGGTTCCTATTCTCCCGACAAGTCAATGGAAAGTACAAGGTTGAATCACCCCACACTCCTCTCCATTGTGGTTGGGAGGCCCGTGTGGATGGCATTGATTACTTCCAGAAGGAAGGATGTACCACCCCTCACCCCTGCCTGTAGCTAGTCCTTTGTATGCCTCATCCGTCACTGGTTGCTCCTCTCAACTGTGTGTCTGTCAGTTATTGCATGTATCTCTATAGCAAACTGCGACTGTTGATCTCTGTGGGTTTCACTAAAATTCCTAAACCCTCCAAAAGGCTTGTCTGTCTGCATCACAGAACTCCCCTAAACCCTCCAAAGGCTCTTCAAATTGCACTGCAGCAGTCCAGGCTGCGCCAATTCTGCACCATACCATTGCAAATCCACCAGTGACAGTTGATGGGGAGGGAACGCGTCCGGGAACTCGGCGGGTGAGAACAATGGCACTCCTTGGTCCATGTTAGTCCATTCCTTGAAGGAGATGCAATAGTCTCTCCTTAGGTCACCGTGCTCCTGCCCGGGGGACTGTCCACCCTCCCATCGGATTTGGGCAATCCAACCACCTTTTTCGCTACCCAGCCATCCCCTTGAGAATTGATTGATTGGTTGTGTGATATCTTTCTTTGAGTGATATGTCTGTAATTCGTTTTTGACCTTCTGCCATCGTGAGAGTTGCTTGCTGTACATACTGTTTTATTATTTCCGTTACTTCTTCTCCTTCCATGCGAACTCCCTCAATGGCGTATGTACAACGCTTCCTCCAAAGTGCCCAAATAACCGCTCTCCTCCCGAGATGGAACATGTTGTTGATGCATCCTGGCTGCTAAACGTTTGGAGTTTTCTTGACATTTTTTACCCAGAAAGTACAGGTTGTTGTTAAACCAGTCTATTTCCTGCTGAATGTGCTGCCTTTGTGTATTCCAGAATATCCAGCAGTCGATTATGTAACTCTGGAAGGGTTTCTGTTGTAAGAGAGAGACGTTGAGTTTGTAAAAGCCAGGTCCACGATCTGGTTGCTTTCGAAAGGACAGAATGACCGTGCACATTTTATGATCCAGGCCCGGGTAGGGGCTAGCGGGTAGGATTGCTGCCAGCAGCAGAGATCCTCCCATGTCTTCCGAGATCAAGATTAGGCCGATCCGGGATCTCGACTGGCACTCAGTCCCAGCTTTGCAGAAACACGAATAAAACCTTGTGTCTGGGTTTAGCCTTCGGAAAGAATCGAAGACTTCGAGTGAAAGGCGTAAATCGTTTGTTATCCGTTCGTCTTCCTCCACATATGCGGGGGCGGGGGAGGACACTCTCCATCGATCCATCCAACAATCAGGGGCTGCATTGCAGTCTCCTGCTATGATGTTTTGCATCTTCAGATTCTTAAAAAAGGCCCTTTTCTTGCTATCAGTATTGAGGGGTGTAGATACATAACATACGTATGATTTCAAGTTCCAGCGTGACCAGGATGGACACCCATCGGCCTCCCTCTTGGTCCACCACCCAATGTACCGGGTCTGCTCGGGACTTGGGGGAATCCAGATGGCCACCGCTGCGCTCCCTGGTTCTGGGGCGTGGGCCCTGAAGGCCCTATATTGCCAGATCATTCTATGGTTGCGTTTGTGCTCTGGGGTGTCCATCAGGTGCATTTCTTGGACGCACACTGTATCGCACCAGTTCCTGCCCCCTACCCCTCTCATCGAGTCCCAAATTGCGCTTTGTTTCTCAGGTCTGCACGAGGCAAAGAGATTTACATTCAAGGAGCGTGACACCCCCCTGTCTACCTTTTTCTGGCTCCGACCAGAATGACGACCATCCTTGCAGAACGACGACCATCCTTGCAGCGTGACACCCCCCTATCTACATTTTTCTGCCGGGAACAAGCCCACCTCCCATTTCCCATTTTTCTTTCGAACTGGAATAAGTAACATGGCCGCCTGCGATAGGGAACCAGAGTCTCGGCCCATTTCGATTAGGTGTCTTAGTTTTCTTTTCCGCACCAGATCTATGGGCACGTTCTCGTCCAAGTCGGAGGGTCATCTGGCGGCGAGGCTGTTTGCTGCAGGGCCAGGGGATCTTCTTGCGCCCTCACGGCCTGTTCTTTCTCTGTTGCAACTCGGGCTTCATCCTGTTCTTCTTCATTTGCTGTTTCAGCATGTGCTGATTGAAATCGTGCAAAAACAATTGTCGTCAGTCTGTGCCATGCTTCTGTCCACCTCACCCCCGCTTGCACTCCATTTTCCAACACATTTTTTAGCGCGGCACTCGGGTCGAGCATGGGGAATAACTCCAGGTATGTCTTGTCCCAGAAGTTGTCAGTGAGGGGGCCATATTTTGCTTTCAAATTGCCCATCAGCCCGTCTGCAATAGCGACCAGTTTCTGTTCTACGGGCAGGTGCAGCGGCGGTGCCCCCTCCTCCTCGCCTTCCGGGTTGTTTTGGGAGTCCAAACCTTCTGGTGACGTGCTAGCATTAGCCGGAAGCAGGTCGACATCCACTGGTTCTGAATCAAAGGCCGCCTGGAGGGGATCCATATCCATCATCTGACTCACTGGTAGGTTCCTTCTTCGTGCTGTCACGCCAGATTGTTTCAACTTCTCCTCCGAGTTTTCTCGCCCTAGCGCCCCCGACTCCACCTCCATTTCCCCTTCCTCCACCTGGAGGGGGTCCATATCTCTCATCTGACTCGTTGGTAAGTTCTCTCTTCCTGCTGTCAGCCCAGATTGTTTCAACTTCTCCTCCGAGATTTCTCTCCCTAGCGCCCCCGACTCCACCTCCATTTCCCCCTCCTCCGCCTGGAGGGGATCCATATCTCTCATCTGACTCGCTGGTGAGTTCTCTCTTCCTGCTGTCAGCCCAGATTGTTTCGACTTCTCCTTCGAGATTTCTCCCCCTAGCGCCCTCGACTCCACCTCCATTTCCTCCTCCTTTTGTCTCTCCAACTGTCAATTTGCTCCGTCTTGTTTCAGCCGATTAAAGGGGTTCCCCTCTGCCCTTATGCTCTTGCTCCTTACATTGTGTCTGCTCTGAGGGGGTGAGGTGCTTCCTTCAATCCGCGGTGTCATCTGTGCCTTCCTCTACCTGAATGTATCGCTCGGCGGCGGGACCCTTGGTGCCGCGGGGGTTACCGTTGTCATTTCACAGCGGTCTGGGTTCCGCTTGTTTTTTAATCCAGATTTCTTTCCCTCCTTTCTTGCCCACCGTCTTCCAACCTGAGTTTTCTGAGTTCCCTTGCTGGGAGTTCAATCAATTCATCAAATGTCAGATCAATCTTTTTACTTCCTCTCACTTATGAATCATTTATACTCGAAAATAAACTTAGAAGAAATGCGGGAAGCAGGAGTTCATTTTGGACATCAATCACATAAATGGAATCCTAAAATGGCTCCACCTGTGTCTCCTGCACCTTCTCCTCCACCGGAGCCAGGGGGGGTCCATGTACTCGGGGGGCGTGTCCCCCATTTAGGCTCTCCAGTTCTCTCCCATTTCCACCCAATTGGGACACCTTCCTTTGTAGGGTCCTCAACGTAAGCCCAACCTTCATGTCCCGGGTTCACTGCTCTCCAATGGGTCACCTTGACCGGGTCCCTCAACAGTCTCCCCATTGTAGGGTTCCTTTTCTGTGGATGGAGCGGGCAAACGTACTCAGTATTCAGGTGGCCGTATGCTCTGCACTTATGGCACCACGGCCTCAGTTTGTGTGCCGTATGGATCATATACTCTTTCCCCCCCTATCTGATATGTCTGATATGGAATCACGTCATTGAAGGCGAATGGTAGGCCCTGGGGGAAATCCAGCGCCAACATTAAGTAGTCGTCCCTCTTGGCCACAAAGGAGGGGAGGAGGTCTATGAAAGCAACACTGGCCTACAGTAATCCGAAGTCGTATACAAACGCCGCCTGGATTTCAACTGGGATGTGGCGGAACTCCACCCAGTGGAAATCTTGCATGAGCTGTGCCCTCCTCTCTTCCGGTCCCATCTTACGCTGTGGCATCCATGGGTAAATCCGGACCTCCGACCGTCCACAGAGGAGGCGTTTCCACCCATCAATCGCGGTCTTGTCTGAGTCGTACAAGCATAGGACCGTAAACAAGGTGAAAAACCATCATTTATTTGCACACAAATGACTGAAGCTTTGAAAACATATATGCAAATTTCCCTAAGCTTCGCCCTTTTTTTTTGTTTTCCTTTTTTCAGTTGTTGGAAACTGGTTGGATCAAGAGTCGGTCTCGGGCCAAGTCAGCGCTGTTTTTCAGTATCTCCAGCCGACGGCCGATCCACTTGACTTTATCATTAACCGATTTGAATGCGGCGTCATCGTGAAACACCCAGTTACTTGCGTGTTTCGTATAGACCTCGTCCCGGCGGGTTAAGCCACTTTTCGGGTATGCCTTCATCATGACTTGTTTACCTCCATGTGTCACCACACGTGTTTAGGACGGAAGTAAAAATTGGTTCATGAAAAAGGCCCGTGCCGGTGGCAATCCTTCCAGGGGGATCTGGAGATTTCCAGTCCGCGGGCCGCCCTGACCCCCATGGATGGTCAGGGTTTGGGCATGGTGCGGATTTATCTGCCCAGGATAGTTGAGGCTGATTATTACTCATTACTTGTGTGGGAAGGGGCTCTTCTCTTTGTGGTGTGCTTTCCCCCGTAACTCCATCTCCTTCTCCTCCTCCGTCAAGACCCCTGTGTCCTCTGGTTGTTGCCCTTCCCGGTTGTCTCCGCCTGTGGGGGGTGCCAGGGAGCTTCTTCTTGTTTTTTTCTTTTTTTGCACTTCAGCAAGTTCATCTTCGTTCCTCTTCGATCGTCAACCTCCTCCCTCCTCTCCTCCTCCTGCACTTCTCCTCCACCACCTGCGCCGATTTTTTATATATTTCATAAGTTCATCTTCCTTCCTCTTCCTCCTCGCCATTCTCCACCTTCTCCACCTCCTCCTCCTCCTCCTCCTCTTGTGCTTGCTGTTTGTCATCCTCCATTCCCCCCCCCCCAAAAAAAAAAAAAACAAGAACAAAAAATATGGAAGCCCACGGATTTGGGGCCCTTAGGCAGGGCGCAGAAATGTCGTAAGGCCAAAAAAATAGACTCAAATTATTTACTGTGTTTTTTCTCACACCCAGCTGAACTGGACGCGGGACCAGCCCGGACGCCACGCCTGGGTGCCCGGCCGGGCATGAAAATCTTCCTAGTCCGTCATGCAGAAAAATAAAGTGAACAACTTTTGCCCGGGCCAACGAGTGGTCCTTGTTCATCGGCCCCCCCCCCGCCCCCCAACAAAAAAAACAAAAACAAAGGGCAACATGCAAACCCTTCATCGTGAGGTGGCTATGGTTGCAGGGGCAGTGCTTTATTTTCTCTTGGGAGAGGAGGCAACATGTAATCCCTTCATTGTGAGGTAGCTATGATTGCAGGGGTCCCCTTCATTTTTCTCTTTTTGGATGGGTGGGTGGGGGGGGGGGGGGAGAGTGAACCAGGACCACATGCTGGTACCCTACCTGCACGTGGTATACATTTGAATAAAACAGATCCCCTCCCACTGCCCCCCCCCCAAAAAAAAATCGAAGGGAACCAAAAAGCAAACATTAAGGGGGTGGTAGCTTCATTCTTCAGCTCAAAGGAAGGCACTCAAAAGCGTACACATGATACATTTAAAATTTTAAATGAAACAGGTGCCCAAAATGAGACAGGGACCCAGCCTACCTCAGCGGTTAGCTCATCAGTCAGTTGGTACCTCGAGATCTGTGCCTCAGTTCAAATCACTGGTGCAACCATCAGGCCGGTGGTAATTTCACCTGGTCTATCCTTTTTACATGCTCCCTCGTTGTTGATCTCCTTTCCCGGCCACCTCCCTTTTCCCAGAACCATCCCCTCCAAGACCTTTGCGAAGACAGCGCCCTGAATAAAAACTCGCATCTGCGTTTCGACACTCAGCGGCGTCATTTCGGAGATTCGCACAATTCGTTTTGTTTCTGGCCATATTTGACGCATCCAGTGCGCTGTGCCACCTCAGACAACAATTAACGCATTCTCTCTTTTCGTTCTCCATCTTTCCGATCTTCTGTTTCTTAAGTGCACCGACCCAAAATTACCACCGCATTCATTCGCACAGCACATGCATCATATGAAATGTGTCCCAAGTTCTGACACTGCCTCACACAATTTTTTTGTTTTTTTTTTGAGACACTATCACCTTATCACACGGCCCATATTCATTCTGACACAATTTTTTTTTTTTTTAAAGGGCGATGGCCTTGAGGTATTATCATCAGACTAACCAGAATCTTGTGTCTAATCTGACAATGGTGGCCTTTTCAGCCCAGGGTGGCCTGATAGCCTTAGGGTCTATGGGTTCCCACAATCCGCCCATCGGCCATTCACGACACCACGTATTGACAAAACACACAGCACGTTTTCGGGGACAAATCACGACCACCCGTTCCAGCATACGGCGATGAAAAAAGGTCCTCCAGTCCCTTGACCAACAGGGTCTGAGCCCTTAGGCTGATAAAACTTTAGTAGTGTCTCGTAGATAGGCAAAAAGGCCGCACAATCAGGGGTCTAGTTGCACTCTTTGCCATCCGCTGAAACTGTGAATGAACCTGAACAGGAATTCTGTCCTGGTGCATTCAAAATGTCGCCGGATGGTGAGAAGTGCAACTACGTCCCAAGTGCTTACACTTTGTTGGCATCAACGATGACTGGGCATCTTCATCTTCGTGCCCGACAAAGATCTGCACACATCGCACCCGCCCATGCTGCCGATTAACACATCCTTCATGCAACACCCACCGCATGTCAATATGCCGTTGCCCTCCTTCCCATCTAGCGGTTTCTACGTCCTGGCTTGTCGTGCGCTACAGGTCTCAGATGTTTTTACTTATTTTTCTCAATAATGAAGGGGGATGGTCCTGAGTTACCCTCTTCAAACTGACCGACCAGCCGCAGTTAAATTCAGAGTTGTTAGCTCATTGGGGTTCGAACTGAGGTCTGTACTTCATCAGTTCATACGTGTATCAACTGAGCGAGGCCCGCTAGTTAGACCCCTTATAGTTTCACCGATCCCAGATACCAAACTTACAGTGTTCTCTCCTGTTTCGATCCCTTGTACTCCCCTCTTCACCAACCGTCCACCTCTTCCCATCCTCTCTCTCTCTCTCTCTCTCTCTCTCTCTCTCTCTCTCTCTCTCTCTCACACACACACACACACACACACACACACACCCACACCCACACACCCCACTCACTTTCTTAGCGCCACCTCTCGATTTGGTATCGTGTACAAAGCAAGATCCCATCGGGCGTACGACTCACTTCTTAAGTGCACACAACTCTCTATGATACGAGTGTAATGGGCAGGCGCCACTGGTGCCATGCTCAAGCTTACAAAGCATGAATCTGGCTGCTGATACGACCAGGTTCATGCTTTCCAAGCCCCTACTTGACTAACCTTGTCCGCATACAAAAAAATATTGTGCACCCACCCACCCTACTACTCTTCATCCTTTTCTAACCCCCTCTTTCTGCAACGTTCTTCCCCTCTCTCCCCTACTCCCTCTCCTTTGCCCGTCACATTCATCAAAACTGTATGAAGTGCTATGAACCTATCAACGAGTCTAGGAATCAAAATGAGAATAGCAGATAAACTACCAGAGTGAACTTGTGATAACAATACTGACAGCATCGAGAGCTCTTTCGTTTCTTCTTTTTCGCCAGGTTGTTGTTGTTGTTGTTGTTCTTCTTCTTCTTCTTCTTCTTCTTCTTCTTCTTCTTCTTCTTCTTCTTCTTCTTCTTCTTCTTCATCCTGCTGTTCCTTTTCTTCTCCTCTCTCTGTAGAGATCAGGTCCTTCTTCTCCTTCTTCTTCTCCTTGTTCTCCTTCTTCTTCTTCTTCTCCTTTCCTTCTTGTTCTTCCTGCTGCTCCTTTTCTTGTCCTCTCTCTGTAGATCAGGTCCTTCTCCTCCTCCTCCTTCTCCTTCTTCTCCTTCTTCTCCTTCTTCTTTCCTTCTTTTTTCTTCTCCTCTCTCTGTAGAGATCAGGTATTTGACTGATCAGAACAGATACACTGTACATGGGCTGAAACACCTCCACTTTCCTTCTTTCTGTTGAGGGAAAAAAAAGGGAAAATGTGGATACATACAGGCTGAAATAGCAGTGACAAACAGTGCAAAGGAACAGATGAAGACTCGCCAACCCACAATCCTGAATCAGCTGGCAACGTGAAAGGTGCCACTGAAAATAGAAAGAAAACACAACACAAAACCCTCATGCCTGGAAAGGGCTTCTCGTTGTAGTATTGTCAAAAAGAAAAAGAAACTTAAAAAAAGGGCAAATAATTGGTTGTCTATTTTCAATAATCATCTGATGTGATTTCCCATGACATGGTCATGACTACCTGGCCTCTCACGACGATGGCGCTCATCATCATCTCCGCTACCCCCTCCTCCTCCTCCTCCTCCTCCTCCTCCTCCCCCCTGCCGGTGCCGCAGGCCCAATCCTCCACCTCCGAACTCCTGCTGCCAACTACTTCTTTGACTCTGCAACTCAGACATCAGATTACCATCCCGGGGAACGTGAATCTCTCCAGTGATGCTCTCTGAACGAAGGATCGGAAAAAAACTGACAACACTGCCACTTGCGTGGGTCATTAACCAAGGAATTTGGGAGGAATGGCTTGTCTCACCTAAGCCATCTTGTGCAGACACGTTTGACCTTTGACGTTCACCTTCTGTCCCAAGCAGAGACCCGGAAGCACGCTCCGGCGCTGCCGTTGATTGCTCCTGTACATAATAAGACCCGCCCGCTCTAGCCAATGATTGGTTCCTCAAAGATTGAGAGGCACTCAGCGTACCGAATGCGTTTTCCGACGCATGGTCACGTCGCGCATCATCGACTGTAGCACCAGTCCCCAAGCCAGGGATCATACCGCGCATGTACTCAGCTTCAGCATCTCTGGGTTCAGCAGATTCTTGAGCCCGCCTGTGCAAAACAGAGTGCTGGTCCTGAGATCTACCATCAACATGCCGATCAGATACGGCGACAGGATTACCTGCTGGCTGTTGATACCTCTGATCAGTATCCTGTTGCAGAGCCTCACTTGACGTTGATCCAGTCTCTGGAGGAACTCGGCGCTGCTGCTCTTGATCTTGCTCTTGATCTTGCTGTTGTTGTTGTTGTTGTTGTTGTTGTTGTTGCTGCTGCTGCTGTTGTCCCCGGTGAAGCTGCTGCTGTGCATGCTGCACGCGCCGTCTCATGCTCTCCAATGCAGGGATCTATTTGATATGAATTGCACACGGGAAAGACCAACACCAGCCAAGAGATCAGCGGGTGCACGGTGTCATGCCAGCAGTCTTTCACAGCAAGTGCTCGTAGGTCAGTTAATTGGGATGACATGAAAACCCAAGACATCACAGAACTCTGATGGCAAAAGCGTGTTTACATGCATGCACGACGTTGCACGTACACATCCACTACCGCCCCCCCCCCCCCCCCAAAGGGCAACACACACACACACACACACAATCAGTTTCATCAACTTTGATGTATGTCCCATACATGGCGCATCACGTGTGCACAAGTTGCGCTCGTGCACCACATAGCGCACGCGCACACGACGGACATGATGCGGCACGATTACGAAAAAAAAAAAAAAAAAAGGTCAGGTTATGGTAACCAACTGTGTGCCTCCCTTTTGAAAATTGTAAGTGCACAGAAAAAAAAAAAAAATTGGCGCCACATCGTACTCCTCATTGGATATAGTCTCTTTTCCAAAGGGTCACCTGCAAAGAATTAGCAGGGATCCCACACATTTGGAAGGACGTTCATCGAACTGCTGGACGATCACGAGCAGGCCAGGAATATATTCTCGATTCGGATTCAGGTCTGTGTTCCAAGAGTTATGGGTTACGAACAAACACTCGCTCCACTCGTCAGCACTTGCACAAAAGAAAAACACATGGCTTGTATGGTTCCAGTTTCTAGTAGAAGATTCATTCTAGTTTTGCACATTTGGTGAGTAGTGGAGCGAAGCCTTGAAAATCACATGCCGAGTTAGTAAGTCAGTAACCCATAACTGCTGAAGTGCGCCCGTAGGACAAACGACGGCCCGGGTCTCAGATTTGTGATGCTAGCGATTTTCAAGTGTAGGGATGTGAGTAGGCGATGTGCTGCTTTGCTCCATGTTAGATGTGTAGACTGCCTTTGACTTGTGAGCGCTTCGCCGCTGCCTTGCTGTCCGTCCCGCTTGCTTCGTGTGTTGTTCGTTGTGGGGGCTGCTGTGTTCACAGTGTGCTGTGGCTGGGGTGTTGGTGTTGCATGGGCCCCATGCTTCGTTGCACTGCTGGCTCACTGCCCATTTGCGTGATGTGCCTTCCACGTGCTTGTGTGCCGTGTAGTGTGGCTGCTGTGTTGGTCTTGCCCTGTTCTACTCTTCCACGCGCCCTCTTGTTCCTTGCAGTCATTTTTGGCGTTGTGAAGTCGGGTTGCTCTGGCAGCATTGCCTGGTGCTTCGCTGAGTTGTTGCCTGCTGCTGTGTTAAGCTTGTGGACAGTCTGGCTTCAACAAACGTCAAAGGGTTCAAGACCCAAACCATCATATAGGATTCCGCACGTTGTTGAGGGTTCATACTCCTGACGAGTCATTGCAACTCGGATGAAACAATCTATCATCAACATTTATTTTTTTTCAGTCACCGTCTTTTGGTCATACTTGAATTCTTTTGGTTGGTGCTTCTGCCTCGTTGTTGTCCAGCTTGCTGTCGTTGCCCTGCTGCCTTGTGCTGTTTGCCTGCCCACCCGCCTCCCTCATGCCTTCCACCCTATGTGCTTTGCTGCCTTGTGCTGTTTGTCTGCCCACCCACCTCCACCATGCCCCTCCAGCCTGTTTGCCTTGATGCCTTGTGCTGTTTGCCTTGCTGCATGCTGCTTGTCAGCCCACCCGCCTTCCCCGTACCCTCCGGCCTTTGTGCTTTGCCCCACTTGTCGTTCATTGCAGTACCTCCCTGCCTTTTTCCTTGCTGCTTGCTGCGTGTGCATTTTTTTTTTTTTTTAAGCTCGCAAGAACAAGCCCCCCGTGTCACCATTGAGCGCAATTGACAACCAAAAGTTCATTTATAATCAGAGATGATCATCTCCGTGATTCTTCTTCTCTCAATGAAGAACAGACAAATGTGGCCATTGACACCAATAACCTCCAGGTACAAAATTCATTCGCAGGAGCGAGGATGAAGAAATACGACATCCTCCTCGCCGCCGCGACCTCCTCACGTCCAACAAATGACCTCACTTAGAAAGACTCCCCTCACAATCGCCTCTAAGACAAAGACAAGCAGCAGCAGCAGCATCCGAAACGCAATCAAAGCCCAAGAGGCAACTGAAGAATTGGCTACCACCACCTCCCACCTCAATCCTTGGGCCATTGTGCCCTTCTCGCTCATGTAAATGCCATCAAGAAACCTACAAATATCTTTCTCCTTGACATGGCACACTCGATTGGTAAGTGCACAGGACCTCGAAACGAGCTCCACATCACTGCCGTCCACAACGATCTCGTACTTGACCTTCTCCGATCTCATAATACTCACGCGGGGAAGCATGATGACCTTCCGCACCTTCTTCTCACCTAGAAAGTTACGGATCTCAATCGATGTGCTGTCGTTGTTTTTGCTGTCTCGGTCGTATGACTTTGAGGGTTATCCATCGACTTGACTCACTCAGATCCGTTTTGTCCTCCTAAGGTGTTGTGCTTTGTGATGGTATGGTGCATGGTTTGTACCATGCTGGGAATAAACATGGTTCCATGAATGTGCTTACACACATCCAACACACACACACGGACACACAGGTAGGGAGACACAGAGAGTCGTTGTTTTTTCCTTTTTTCCTTCCTTTTTTTTTTAACGTTTTTTTTGGGGGGAAAGGGCAACGGCCTTAAGATATCATCATCGAACTGACCCGGCCCAGGCAATTCAGAATGATTGTATCTGGACTGGAACTGGGGTCTGCATTTCGACAGTTTGGCCCCTATTCCAGCAGCAAGTCCCAAATGCAACCCGAGTGAGGCCCATTGGTAGCATTAGTTTGGCTCCTATCCCAGCAGCAAGTCCCAAATACAAGCCCGAACATTTGGCTCTGTTCGATTCTTCTTCTTTCTCTAATCTTCACGTCCCCTCCTCCTCTTCCCATCCCCTCTTCACATTCATCGAGTCTGTCCTCTCCTCGTAATGCTAATTCATTCCCGGCCCCCTATCCTCCCCCCTGGACTCGAACTTGGGTCTGCATTTCAACAGTTTATGGGTGTACCAACTGAGCGAGGCCCGTTTGTAGCATTAGTTCGGCACCTATTCGAGCACCAAGTCCCAACGTACAACCCCTAACATCTGGCTCCGTCTAATTCCTCTTCTTCCTTTCTTTCTCTAGTCTTCTCTCCCCCTCGTCCTCCTCCCATCCCCTCTTCACATTCATCGAGTATGTCCTCTCCACGTAATGCTAATTCTTCCCCGGCCCCCTATTGTCCTCCTCGCTCCCCCTCGTCCTCCTCTTCCTCCTCCTCACTAACCGGCCAATCAAAAGTTTCCTGCCCCACAGATTCTCCAACACCCAACTATAAAGGGCCACAAACTAAGTGTGAGGATTTTAACCCTCGCCATACCTGCATGTGGTGGCCCCTACAGCAAGCATGTGCCCTCCCTAAGTGAAGGCGGGCCCCTCAATGAGGCCTGAATTTGTAAATTTTGCAAATCCTTGGTGGGCGCCAGACAGTTGCCACGCGCCAGTTGGTTACATCCACCCTCCTCGTGAAAATCAGAAACATTCGTGAGCCTTCCAGGCCCTTCTGACAACGCAGTGGAAGCAGGGAACACCTCACATTTGCACAAATTGCCAAATGGGAGGACTGTTCGGCTGCAGAAGTTTATGGCTAGCAGACTAGTTGAGTCCTATGGCTGCATGTGCTGTGTCAGCTTTGTGTAATTTATTACAAGCAGAATCGTGAGGAGGGCATGCACCTAGTCTTTGTCTCTGAGAAACCGGGGGCCGTAAAAACACCCCCAGAGATAGAAGCAGTCGTTGCTCAATATCCAGACCTTTTTGAGGAGCCCAGGGGCGTAGTCGAGAGGGAGGTTGTCCATGCGATTGTGAAATCACACTTCTGATTATTCAACTTGTCATGTATGCAAACAGCGAAACAGCAACTGGCGACATGCGCCCACACAATACTCAAGATATCGT